AAACTCTTGTTGTCCCCCAGGGCGTGTAAGAATCCAGGGAACAGGGTACGCACATGGTTGCGACAACCAGCGCCCATGGCCGTGGCAAGCTGCTCGCAAATGGCCAGTGTCGTCTGGGCAATCTTGGCATTGGAGTCGACCAGGCGGTGGGCCAGAGCAGGAGCTAAGTCTCCGATGCTGGGCTTGATCAGCCGCGCCTCCGATATTATAGCCTGCAGCTTAGTCAGCCCCTCGTTGCGGGTTTTCCAATCCTTGTCCGACATCTCCTTGAGCAGGGCCTCCGTAATCTGCGGCGCAATGTCAACGCGGGGTAGAAGATCAGCCATGTTTATTGGCTCCTCCTCTCCGGCTGCTCCACCGTCGTCGTCCTCATTGTCTGGGGAACTACTGGTTGCTCCGCCGCTGCTACGTTGGACTCCTCTCACAGGCTTTGGCGGTTTTTCACCCACATTTTTGTCAAACTCCACCTGGATCTGGGACTTCAGGGCGGGCTTTTCGCTGTCGAAGAACATCATCAGAGCATTGCCCATATACATGGACATGGTGCCCACGAGTTGGATGGCAGCAGCACGAACTGTTGGATTGGTGCTCTGCACTCCCTTACGTACATCCTCGATTAAAGTCTTTGGCTGCAGTTGGAAGCCGAACTCTGTGATGGATTTGCCCACCCAATTGAAGGCCTCCGATTGCACTTTCGGTGACTTTTGGTCGAAGGCAAAGCTCAGCACTTTGCCAACGATGTATTCCAGTTTAGTGGCTTCAGCAAAAGCGGACAGAACATCAGCGGCAGCTGCTCCATTCTTGGCATCAGCCAACTTTTCGGTTATTTCGTTGACCACCAGATCCACGGTTGTCGTGGTCAGCGGATAGTTCTCGGCCACGCTGCGGATTATGTCCAGCTTAAACTTGAGTACCTGGAAGTTCATTTCCTTAAGGCCGGGCTTGCGGCCGCTGATTGTGCGGATCAGGATCTGTGAGATGCCCGCCTGTTTTGCATCGAAGCCGGTGATTTCGCCTAGGAGCTGCTCCACAGCCGCCAGCCGATTCTTCCAGTTGGAATCCACCAATCCGTTAAGTATGTCGGCTGGCAGAATTTCATCGGCCTTTTCCTGCAAATCTTCGGGCGTTAATTCCCGTTCCGTGGCTAGGGCTTTTCCAGTCGCCTTAGAACTCGCAGGTGGGGCAGATGCAGCTCCACTCCCTGAGCCTGCCGTGGGCTTCTTCAGGACCTTGCGAGCCCCCGTAGTGGCCGGTCGGGACACTGGCTTGGGGTCCACACTGCCCGCCGTGGTCTTGGCAGGAGCAGATGCTTTCGCAGCCGGTGCTGATGCAGGTCGCGCCTCCTTCTTCGGACCTGCAACCTTTATCTTTATCTCTGCCTTGTCGTGGCACTCCTTTATCTTGACCATCTTGAGGGGATCGACGTCGGCTAGCAGTGGAGTCACCGCCTTATCACCCATCAGTTTCATGAGAGTGCCCAGGGCTTCGGCGCTGCTGTCGCGGACTGTGGGATCCGGCTCGTTAAGCGTTTTTACCAGACTGGTGGTCAGAAGCTTGAGCAGCTTCTTGTTTAGAGCGGTCGGCTGGGTGCGGGTCAGGGCACGGGCCAAGAACAAGGCCGTCTCGGATTTAACACTTGGGTTCTTGTTGGCCAGCGACTCCACAATCGACTCTTGCTGGGCCTCCAGTGAAGTGGATGCGTAGATGGCATCGATTGCCTCTCGCAGGGCTGTCACAACATTAGGTTTCTTCTCCTTAAATTTCTCCAAAAGGGATGGGACACAAGCCTGGAATAAAAGAAAGTATTTGTTAGGCTTTGTTTAAAGGATAGTATGAGTCATCACTTACCGATGCGTAGTTAGAGAATCGCTTTGCCAATCCTTTTGCCAATAAAGCCAGGCATTTTCCGGCCATGGCCACAAGGACTACGTTGGAATCCTTGGTTATCACTTTTTTCAGGGCGCTCACTACTGTTCCGTACTCCCCGTTCTCAAGCTTTGGATGGTCAGTAAGCAGCTTCTCCAGCACTTCCAGCGATTCCTTGCGCAGCGTCCACTTCTTCTCCTCCAGCTTGTCATAAAAGTCTTTGGGCATCTTGGAGAGTATGTCTACGGGATCAATAAGATCCATGGGGTCGATTTCTTCGACGCCAGCCTCACCATCCTCTTCTATATCATGTTAGTAGAGCCAAATCAGTATTACATTGATTAACCGGAATGAAGTCCTTACCATTATAGGCATCTTCGATGGCGGCTGCGTCTGCGATTTTTGCCTGCTTTTCTTGCTGTGATTTAAGATACCTAGACGGAAAAAAACTTCAATAAGGAAACCAATCAAAAGTTGGGTAAAAACTGACCTGGAGGGCTCAACGCGTTCGCCTTTGAGCTTGTCAAACTCATCCTCCAGTTCTTTGAGCGTTACCTGGGGCAACGTGGAGATCTGTGCCTTCATGGCGGCTCCGATCCAGCGGAAGATCTCCACTGCCAGCTGTTTGCCCTCATCTCGGACCGCTTTATCTCTGTCAGACATCAGCGGGGCCAGCTTCTTAATCAGCGGCTTTACGCCGACCACTTTGTGTCCGAACTCCCGAAGAGCCAGCGTAGTGGCCGCCACACAGGCGGACACAATCTTGGGGTTCTTGGCCTCCATGCCCTTGATCAGCTCCTCGACGACGGCATCTTGCTTCTCGATCTCTACGTACATGAGTGCCACCTGGACGGAGAGCTCCTTGGTCTTTGTCTTGGGCGCGGCAATGCACTTCTGGACAATGCCGGTCATCACATCGCCTACAGTACGTCCGGCAAGGCCGCTGTTCTCCACAAAGATGAGGGCCGCCTCCAGGCCCTTCTCCTGGGCCAGTGCATTGGAGTCCACCACCATCTTCTTGATGAGGCCCGCAAACTTGGACCACTCCGGCGACTTCTCGTCGTCTAGCTCGCGGAAGATCTTAGCGGCCTCCTCATAGCCGTCGACGCGGGCTTTCCACAGTTTGTGCACACATCGCTCCTCCACCGGCAGCTTCTTGTACTCGGTGTCCTCGGCCATTGTGTGTGGTGCTCAGAACTCAACCCAATTTGGTCTGAGCAGTAGATTCTCCTCAGTGGTCTGTGTCGCAAGCAGTTGTCTCAACCAACATTCTTAGAGAAGAAAAAATATTATATAAAATCAAATCAAACCGAATTTTTTTCTAAAAATCAACCAATTCTCAATGAAGCAGAACTATTCTGGTTGTCAAGCTAATGTTTCAAAATTGAGCTTAATGGTCGATGAAATGCCGGAGGCCAAGGAATCATCCGTCCGTTTCGCTCGAGAGGCAGCAAAGAGTAAATGGGTCGGCCATATTTAGATTGCCGCCCGTCCAACTGCAGTTATTTGGCAAGTAGAAATAGAAATAGGAGCGTGCGAATTTGGGTTTTCGGAAAAGGTTGGTGGGCTTGTCACCAGGATGGGTGATATCATATCACAGAATAGCGCGCCTTATTTAGACAATATATCAGGGGCAGGGGCAGCCTTCCCCCTCCGTCCCAAAAGGCGACATATACGCACACGCAAGCCAGTGACTGACTCAGTCTGGTATCTTTCGGGTCCCTACACATAATATCAACAAAACAAAAATATCATTAAAATAATTAAATTATTCATACCCCCTTGACATATTTCTCAAGATCTGTATATGGACTGATTAACTGTTCTCCAGTTTCAGGAGAGCATTCCATTAGTCGGATATGCGACGCTTTGTTAACCGCTCCCGCTCTCTCTCTCTCTCTTAAGCGTACTTTTAAGCTCTCACGCACACCGACGCTCTCTCGTTCGAATTAACGGATCGCGGGCAAGAACAAATGTTTCTCCTGCGGCTTTATGCGTCTGGAAAATGCCGTCGTTTACCGTTCCAGCCAATTGCTAAATGTTGCTCTGACTTTCAATTTCCAGGGGCTGCTATTGAGAGCCCCAAATACACCAAATTCCTCCTATTTTAGCGACAAACAAAAAGCGACGCCCTGGATCGAAATCGCGATGCACTTAAGTGCATTCCGGAACACTCACCATCAGAATTAAGATCCAAGTACCGCCGAGCAGCGGGGGGCGTGGCAAGGGCTATGGGGGCGGACAGCTGGCCAGTGGTAGCGGTTTAAAAGGGCTGCGCAATGCAATAACTTCGATTTTTCGCAGGCGACACACCAACACTTTCGCACTTAGGCACGCACACTAATTCGAAATGAATTCACCGACGAGCTTTTGTACGGCTGCCAGCTGTGCAGCAACAATAAATAATAACTTAACTACGTTTTAACCACATCGAGGCACTTTTGTGCAGCGGAATTCACTCGGTTTCGCGTGAGGTAAATAAATAATAATTTTGCAGTTCTTCAGCAGCGTCGTCGCGCGCCAGTGTGACCGCCAGAAATAATCGATATAATACTTGGAATTATGGAAATAAAATAGCCGTATGCCACTGGCAAATATTTTCACACTTTGAGAAAAGAACTTTACCTTGAGGAGGGGCGGCTAACATTTGAAAATAGTGTAGAGTAGTGATTCGCCCCAACTCCCAATCATTTTTAAATTTTCGGGATCCATGCGTTTTGGATTACGAAAAAAGACCGATTTGTTCGAAAAAAACGATAAGAGCCGTTATTTTTGTTTTTTCTTTTATCAAAAAACACATCCAAACAAGTGTTCATGGTCTAATTGAAATACACGTTTTTTGTTTTGTGACTTTTTTTTTCAATAAAGTTAATATTTTACCAGATATCGACCACAATAGGTTGCTTTTTAACCGTCATTCAAAAATGACGGGCTGATCTGGCAACATCACCTAGATAGTGGATTTTAACGTTTATCGTTACATTATCGATTTCGTGAGTTTTATCGGTTTCGTGAATGCTATCGATATGCAACATATGCAGGCAATGTTTAATTTGAATTTGTAAATGATAGAGCTATGGGGCTTTTCGCAAGTACAGCCCGAATCCAATGTAAATATATTAAATCATGATCTGTAAAACTGTTATATAGAATTTATTGTGCCACCGCTTTCGACGCGCGTGATTTCAAGCAGGTGTATAGTATGTCCGCCCATAAACTCAAGCAGATCCACGCCCGACTCTTTGCCAATGTCGTCCATGCTGATGGGCAATGCCTGCAGTTTCCACTTCTTGAGCAGCGCCTCGATGGACCAGTCGGCGCTCCGCTCCTGGTATGTGAATATGAACTTGGCCTCGGCATTCCGTTCCAGCAGAAAGGCCACCGTTACCACAATGTCCTCGAAAACACTAGGATCGTAGAAGCAGTCGGCGGCAATGATGAGGTCCAGAGGTGGGAGTCGGAACACGCTGTTCAGCAGTAGGCCCCAACTCAGGCCCACCACATCGATGTCGACGCCCGGCTGCAGCTGGTTGGCCAGGCAGGACTTGCGGATGTGGGCCAGCGACTTGGGCAGGATGCAGTTGTCGGTGAGCACCACCTGGGCGCGGCACTTGGCGGCCAGAATGCCGGGCAAGGCGGTGCCGCTCCCCAGCTCCAGAATGCGCTTTCCGGCCAGCGTCTGTCGTCGCTCCCAAAGAAAGTGGGCTAGTACTGGGGCACAAGGCCACGTGTAGAAGGAGTACGCTCCCTGGAGCAGCTATGGGTGCATTGTTTAAGGATTAGTTTCTGCGGAAACACCTGGTCCTCAATCTCACCTCGGGTATTTTGATCTCCAGGCGCTCGGCGGGGGATCCGCTGAAAACGAACTTACGGATGTGCTCGGCGGTGGCTGTGGCTGCCACAATGTCGTTGTCCTCGCTGCCGCTCTTCATGTGGAAACGCATTTTAACACGGGCATGCAGGAATAGTACTTTTTTTTTCTAAACTGTTGCTATTTTTCAGAGATTTGTTTACAACCTGTTTGATTAGTGATGCCAAAGCAGAAACGATACAATTATCGATAATGCTGGAGGTGAGCTTGGTAATCCGTGACTAACGCGAATATCGCAGCTGGTGTGTACCGGCAGTTCAAACAATAAATTAATTAAAAAAATTATTAAAGGTTACATACTTTACCGAATTTTTTCAAAAAATATTAAATATTTTATTTTTATTAAAAATTTATAGTTAGTAGTATTTACAGATTTGTGTTATACAATCTCCGATTAGAAAGAATAAAAGATATTTAAATAACACAGCAAATTAAATTCAATCTATAAAAATTGCTCTACAATTTCAAATTTAATTATGGCTTATACCCGTCAAAATTCTACCAGAACACTTATTTCAGCTAAGCGCACCCATAATGTAAATATTTGAGACCCTGTGGTGCTGCTGAACGCTGGGACAAGTGCTCACGAACTCAACCATCGCCCATCTCTAAGGATCGTTTAAAAGTTTTGAGATTCGCTGTGCGATGGAGGGATTCTTCAAAGGTGCTGCGTAAATTAAAGAGCGAAGATAAAAGTAAAACGATGAACTCCTTTGGGAAATGGGAGTGTTGTGGCAAATTGGGCCAGGGCGGATTCGGTGAGGTGCTCCACTGGCGAAACCGGACGACGGGCCGGGAAATCGGTGAGCTATAAACAACTTTTGGGCCCCACACAACGTACATATATGGAAATGCTTTTCCCAGTGTTGTGTGTTTGTGTGCAATTCGCAGAAATCAGGCTGATGCAAGCATTTCCCGGTGGTGCACTGATAGCAAGGCCACCCGGCCGATTTCTACGCGTGTGTGGTCCCCGGATGCGATAGTCCATAGCCTATAGAGCTTATAGCCCTTTGGCTGAGTCAGCCGAAAGCCAGTCCCTGCGTCGCACATACAAAATCCACTTATGTTTGTTTATTTATCTTTCATTTAGCCACCAAACATATGCAGAACACAAACTCTCTGGGTGCCGATCAGCAAATAAAACTGAGCGAACGTTGGAACAAGGAGTTCAATTGGTCACGCCAGTTCCTGCATTTCCCTCACATTGTGGCTGGCGTGATTCTGGACGAGGAGGATCCGGACTTCGTGAAATTCCTTAATGCCAGGCACCTTGCCAAGTTGCCTGTGATTGTGCTGGAGTACTGCAACGGCGGCGATGTGAGGAAGCGACTGCAGAGGCCGGAGAACGCCAACGGACTGGTGGAGTTCGAAGTGCGCCAGATCCTGGGCGCTCTCCGTCAGGCCCTGCACTTCCTGCACTCCAAGTGCGGGGTCTGCCACCGCGATTTGAAGCCGGATAACATTGTAATCCAACGCGGCGAGGATGGAAAGAAGGTTTACAAGCTAACCGACTTCGGGTTGGCGCGAGTAACTCCCGACCAAACGATGTTACAAAGTGTGGTAGGCACCCGGCACTACTTCGCCCCCGAAGTGGTGGAATCGGGCCGCTACAACTCTGCCGTGGACTATTGGTCACTGGGAATTATTGCCTACGAGCTGGCCACGGGCGAGCTGCCATTCATACCACACCAGACGCCAAAGAATATACTACTCAGTTTGCTTAAGAAGCCCGTCAATTGCATTGCCATCACGGAGGATCCACAGGAAAGCTGTCGTTTTGAAAATCAGTTCGAACTGCCCAAGGAGCACCATCTGTCGCAGCCCTGGGCCGAGGCGTTCACCAAATGGTTGCGCTGCCCGCTGGACACAGACTACAAGCGACGCGGCCAGCTGGCATCTGATGAAGTACAATCAGTACCAGTCGTCTTCGCTGAGCTCGACAAGCTGAACCAGATGAAGGTGCTTACTATGTTTGCAGTTAACTGCTGCAAGCGACTGGAGTATGCGGTTACGGCTGACATGACCATGGAGGATCTGATTCGCTTGATTGTTCGCGACACCGGAATGAACGCAAAGGATGTATACTGCGCGCTGCCTACTTTCCATCCACACAAGCAAATCACGCCGCACACTAAGCCCTTGAATCTGTATGTGGAGGAGTGGAACGACACTAGCAAGGAGTCGTGCAGGTCGGCCAAGCGGAAAAATCCCCCTGTGATGCTGTACATCTTTCAAGGGAAAAAAGAATGTGACTACAGTGTGCCCGAGCAAACGCTGTCGGTTCTCGCTCAGAAGTTTATGACCAACAAGTTAAAGTTGGAGGAGAGATGGGTGGTCAAACGCGTAGCTCTGGACATGTTCTACGTGCTCAACAAGGAGCAAGCTATCTACAAGATGCTCCTGTCCGGTGTTAACGAGCATGCGCTCACGCTGGAGGACGAAATGGTCGCCAATCCGTTCATAGACAGCATTAATGCGCAGCTTCTGACTACCACCTATGCGTTTGAACAGCTGAAAAGCCTGCGAACAGCAGTTCAAGTAGAAAGTCCGACCGTTCAGGTATCTATACGCCCGAAACAATTTGGTTTACTTCTAATTTGGTCTGATTTCAGCTTAACGACGGTGCAGAGTGGGAGAAGCTTGCAAATAATTATGAAGCCATCACAGCAAGCGCAAAATCAATCAAGGGACACTTTGAATCCAACTTACGCAGTGCTCGGGGCATGGTCCAGACCACAAATAAACTGCTGAAGGATCTTGACGAGCGAGATATATTCGATGCGTAAGACAGTGATGACAGCAGACATGAAAAATATAACATAGCTTTTTTGTTTTTATTTTTTAGAACTTCTTTTTACCAACTTTACCTGAGCAACGGACAACGGACCATTTCACCGGCTGAGTTAAAAAATGCCTTCAAGAAGTTTGTCACTATTCGTTTCGAGTTGCATAGAGATGGCGAGGTTAAATCACGCTCCAAGGCTATTGATGCACTGCACTTTCTTTTCTTTAAGAGCAAGGAGTCCGTCCCAGTTCTCTTAATCAAATTTGCCGACTTGCAAAGAGAGATATTTAGCATGCACTTGAAGATGGTAAAGCCCATATGCACAGCACCATCTCAGATGCTTCAGCTTAGCGACGCGATGGACCGTCTTACTATGAGCTATGGGCAACCCAATGCGGATTCATTTGACTCTCTAGGCACGGCCAGTGTTATCGACGAGGCAGAAAGGATTAATAGCATGTAAGTGAATATCTAAAAATTTTATTTCATATTTTTATTAATAGTTAATCTTTGGCTTTTTAAGGCTTATCCGTGAAATGGAAATCGATCACGTTTAATGCTTGTTGTTGGTACAGAAGTCTCGCCGGAGTTCACCACTACGCCTCCATTCGAAATCATAGAAAAATTCGATTTTATTTTGTTATATCACACCCAATTGGTATTTTCATTAGCTTTAATGGTTTCTCAGAAACTAAAGTGCATGTTTTTCATCTCAGAATGATTTGTGTTTTGTTCAGCATTAAAAAACAATCCATGTTAATAATTATCGCCACAGTGTAATGTTTTCATGGCCGATTGAATTTCAAATTGGCGTGAAGTGGGGAAGTTAGACTCGTATATTTAATGCCTGCTTTCCAGATGGCTCAAACCCAATGTCGGCTTTGTTTATTCACATATAAATACTTTACTTATAATTTTTCACCGAGCCTTGCTTATATAAAACCTATACCTATATACCTAAAACCAAACAAAATTATCCGCTTTTGAGCTTTAGAAATTCTTGGTAAAACCAAGACAATCTTTAAATATGTTGTTTACATTTTAAAGGTTGCTTATAGTTCTTTTGTGTATAATAATATAAGCAATAAGCTTGAGCTATATTTCTGTCAATCTTTTTCTAATGGTTAAAAGTTGTCTGGCAGATAAAACAAAAACTTCAAAGCATATATGGTATATAACAGGCGGCTTAATTTGCGAATAAACAGCTGTATATAATTTGGCTTGGTCAATTGAAATGAAACTGCTGAGGATTGCAATGTCACGAGAAATTGCACATGCGGCAGAACCGCGAATTCATGGGCTTCTGGCCATGCCAGACGTGGCTATAAAAGCGATACCAGCAGCTAGGCAGCCACCACAAGCCGTTTGCCGGTGACCACTGTCAGAGCTCTACAAGAATCGCAAGGAAGCACGAAATGAAACTACACTGGTCGATCGGTTTGCTTCTGCTCCTAGGAGTTGTACTGCAGGTGGATTGGATAACAGCTAAGCCTCCGACGAAGAAGTCACTGCGTGAGTAAATTGAAATGAAAATCAGTTGAATAGTAAACGACAATTTAACTATTTGATTTCTATGCAGCATCATTCCTCAAGGTATGCCATCGTGATTCCCCGGACCTAAACACATGCGCCCGTGAATCCTATGAAGCGCTGCGACCGCGACTGATGGACGGCATTCCCGAGCTCTATATACCAGCCATGGAGCCACTGGTCGTTCCGCAGGTGAAGATGGACCAGGACTCCGGTGCCATCTATCTGCACTCCGTGTATCGGAACGTGAAAGTCACGGGCATTTCGAAGCACACAGTGAACGAGATGCGCTTGGAGCCCTCAAAGCTGAAGTTCATCGTGTCGCTGACCTTTCCCAATCTGCACATGGAATCAGACTACAGCATTAAGGTCAGTAAAATAGTATGAAGTCACTTCGTAAGCCCACTCCAAACAAACATAACTACAAGTACAACTGTTGCTCTCGTAGGGAAAAATCATGATGATGCCTCTTCTTGGCGATGGCCACTGCAAGGTGGATCTAAGTAAGTTATATTATCAACTGGGCTTCCAAATGTAGTATACATTCAATCATTTTTCTGTAATAAAAAATTTAATTTGTTGTGCAGCAAACATCACCATGCGCACTGAACTGATCGGACAGGAATACAACAAGAATGGAGCCAACTATCTTAAGATCAACACGGTTAACGTCAAGTACGAGCTATCAGATGTACACATACACCTGGACAACCTGTTCAACGGAGACAAGGCTTTGGGCGACCGGATGAACGAGTTCCTCAACGAGAACTGGAAGGCCTTGGCCGAGGAAGTGCGTCCACTGATGTCCAAGGCTCTAGTGGACATTTTGAGAGCCTCCGTGGACAAGCTTTTCTCATCTTTCAGCTACGATGATCTCCTGCCCAGGGGCAGTAACTAAATGGAGACTGTGGAGACTGGTGAACAGTGTATTATCCAACTTAAAGATTTAATCGTAGTACAAAGAATAGCCTACAAATAAGCACACAATTAAATGCGAAATAAATTATGAATATAATACATAAATAGCGGATGAGGATCCGTAGACCACTAAACCAGCCAAAGCTTGGTGGGCATCTTGGAGAAGACGTTGTTCCACAGGCCGTGGAAGATGTCGGCCAGCCCCAGTTCCAAGTCTGGACGCAGTTCGGCAATTACTTCCTTGCCGTTCTGATTGAGGAACGAGTTGATCGAGGCCGCCAGGATGTCGTTCCCATTGAACAGATTCTTGAGGTGGATGCGCATGGCGCCCACGTCGAAGCCCACCTTCATCTCGTCGATGTGGATGATCTCATCGCCAGTGCGCGTCTCATTGCGTAGGGAGATCCTGGTGTACACGGTGGTGTGCACGTTCTTCAGGGCCATGGCAACGTCTCCACTGCCGATGAGTGGGAGCAGTAGGATATTTCCCTTTAGGTTGTACTTGGCCCGGATTCGCAGTCGAGGGAGCTCCAGCTCAAAGTTCAGCAGGCGCCGCTCCAGATCCAAGCTACAGCAAAAAATAAACGTATAAGTTTATAATCTCTTTATTAATTTCAAGTACTTTTTCATTTGGTTTATCTGATTTGCTTCCCAAAATCTATTTTCTTACCTGGCTCGACGTACAGTCGCGTTTGAAGGTCCTCGAATGACGAGGTTCTGGAATCCGCCGGACAGCACCAGGTTGCCACTACCCTTTGACACCGACACCTGGTCGATGTTGAGTGGCTCAAAGCTCTTCACCCCGATCTCCGGAATTCCTGCCGCCAGGGCCGGAAAGCAGCCCTCAAAGAGCTGCCGGAAGCACTTGTCCTCATTGGGATTGGAGCGCTTGCATGTCTGCAGCCACGGAGCTGAAAGACACAAGATTATGATAATGCATTTAAGACTGATTTAATTATTGATATTGCTTTTAATGTAAAATCAAACCAAAACACCACTAACGAAATGAAAAAGTAGTGCCGATTGCACTTTTAACCTACAAAACTTCTGATACCTTATTGTGTGGCGAAAAAATATTGAGCATTCGACTAAGTAATAAAAAAAGTGGAATATTTTGCACTTTTTTGCAATCCAGGAAATGGTTATTTCATAAAAATATCAAAAAATCTATCCGAAATAAGAAACCAAGATTTAAGCGCAGATTTTTAGAGACTTAAGCCACAAGACTTTAAAGATATACCACTTCACAATCAGACGTCTGTAAGAAAAGTTATGGGTTAAGAACTGCTGGCTTCTGGTCACGTTTCAGCAAAGCCATTTTTCGTAAATTAAGAAATTACATCATCAAAATATCAAAAAATTCGATCCGAAATTACACACCAAGATTTAAACGCAGATTTTTAGAGACTTACGCCACAAGACTTTAAAGATATACCATTTACAATCAGACGTATGCAAGGAAAGTTATTGACTTTGGAACTGCAGGTTAGTTAGAAAAGTTATGAACTTTTTACTGCAAGTTTTTGATCACATTTTATTTTATTAACTTCTCTATTTACACAACTTGTATAAAATTTTTTAATGTTTCTTAAGTAATTTTTAAAAAACACTTTTCCTTATGAGCGCTAATAGCTATTATTACTTACGTCTCTCCTGCAACGGAAGTTTATCGTTCACAATTTCGCGCGTATACGCCCCGGTGCCTTGTGTCACTAAAACCGAGAAGATAACGCCCAAACTAACCGCTAACTTCCAGTATGTTGTGTTAAACATTGTTTTAAAAGAAAAAAACAACACCAAAGCGACAGGTATCCTTAAAGCGACAATTAAGTTTGTTGTTTTAAATCGGTTTTCCGATGCGCGCGACCGTTAGCGACGATGGCTCGAGACCAAGTGCCGGGATAGCCAAGAGAAAAGTCGGACGAAACCATCGAAGGCCATGGTATTATGACTTTTTCGTAGGCTGCTTTTGCGGCCAGTTTTACATACTCTTTTTGCCCGCACTGACATTACGAATTCCGCAATTTCGGAACTGGCGGCGCCGTATACCCGTTTACACCCCCTTTCCCGCTTGTCAAGTGACCACGGAAAAAATTTCGATAAAAAGAGTGTAAAATGCACTTATCACCTGGGGAATTTAAATTATAGGACGGGTCTTAAATTAAAAAAAAAATAATTACTTTATTTAATTATCTTTGTCAACTTATAGAAAGTAAATTATTTGAGTACTTTTATAAACTATAATTAATGAAAGTTATTTAATGACGGTGTGCGAACAATTTAATTTATTTAAGCTATTCAACTCGTTTACTAACTTTGTTAGTAATTACTGAAGGTAGCGTTCCAACTTTCCCAATTGTAGTGCATAAGACTGCACCACTTGACCGAATATTTGTGTTGGCTTATTTGTTGCATTGATATTTGGACTCTTATGTTGTTTTCAATTTTACTTTCGTTCGGCGCTTAAACGCCACCGATTCCCAGCTTGTTTATGTTTATGGACGTTGCGCCACACACACGCCAACATATGGCCAGAAAGCCAAAAGCCGCCCAGCTCGTCCCCCTGGCCTGCTTCCAGTTCCACCGGAGTTCCCTCCAAAGTTGTTCACCTGTTGACTACTTCTGGTATTACGCAGACATGGCTCGATCGGAGATGGAGTTGGAGTTGTCTGGGATCGACGGCGCTGTCTTGCCCCTTCATTGTCACGGGTGAAGTCCGGTTTTCTGGTCATTCGTGCTCCAATGCCTCGGGCCACAGAGGCTTCACATCCCCATGTTTCCCCCTTTCCCCTTTTGGCGGCTGTCGCGTGCACTCTGGTTGCAAGTTTCTGTTACGCAGTCTCCCCAATTAACATAGGGCCTAGAGGTGGTCCAGTGACCTGATCGTGAGCGGGAAGAGATATCAAAATGTTGTACAGTATTACATTTAGAATTAAGTGATTTTGTAGAAATCGTTAAAACTATGACCTACCTCAGTCAAATTTTTTTTGTTCGGCTATCTCTATTTATACTATTTATTAAATTTATTTGGAATACTTTGTTAATTTACATAACGTTTTACAATAGATTTTTTAGACTACTTTATTACGTGTATTAAGCAGACTAAATATATCATTTATTAATAAAGTTAAGTAATCAAAAAACTTTTCCCCACATACTAGGTTTGCCGATGGGATATCTAGAAATTCGCTAAGACAACTCGATTATAAATGAATGTAAATTACTTTATAAAGTAATTATATAAACAAGAAAAGGTGGTAAATTTTTGCCGACAGATTTCTTACTTACTTACTTCATATATTTGCATTGAATTCCATTTGTAGTTTTTAAAATTTTTTCTCACGATTTCATCTCCAGCGCTCATTTGTCATTTGGCAGTCACTTAATTGCCGTAGTTTACGAAAACATGAATATGCAAATTTGGGCCTTACCGTTTATGTGACTTATAATCTTTCTCCTGCACGGGCTGGCATATTTTAATGTTGCATGTTGCGACAATAGCCAAACAACTCATCTTATTTCTTTTGGACAAAAAAGTCGCGTGCGGAAATTACCGAAATTGCGGGTGTTTGCAATAGTTGACCAGTGTCTGGGGATTGCGATATATTTAATTGTGGCTGTTTCCTCGCCTGGCGAGGCCCATCAAAATAAAAACAATTCGGCTGAGATTGAACAGCTGTCGAACCGGCAAAAGTTGTTTCACTCGTATAGCCTGGAATTGCGCAACTTTCGACTTGAATTATTAACAAGCATTTTATTTACTTTGAACGGCAAACAAACGAGTTTAATGTTCGCAATCGATTTGGTTTGTTTTCGTTTCGGTTCAAGTTTTATTGGCGTTTATTTTCACACTTGCTGGTGCATTCCTCGATGCCAGGTTTTTTGTTGAAAACGTTGGATGCCCCAAGTGATGCAATCACTGGGCACCAGTTTTTTTGCTACATTTTTTGCAATGTCATAAGAGTAAATAAAACAAATAATTGAAGGGGCTTTCCCACCGCAATCCGCCTTTGGTCACGTGCAATTGGAGCCAAGAGTTCAATAGCTTCGATTGGGCTTTTTAATTTGGTACCTTGGCATGCAGATCACGCCTCTAATTTTATCGTTTTTCACTTGATTTTAGCTTGTATTTTGATTGCAGGCGCTGCTCTGGCATTGACCGATTAACCCGTCAGCAAGTGTTGTGAAAAGGGCCGATATTTTGGCACTACTTCGCTTATATGTTTCCTTTTTTTATTGCAATTTATTCTATTTGATTGACGGTTACGCTGACTGCTTACAAAGTAACGTTTTATAAATAATAAACTTCAAATATAACGTATTCAGAGAATATGTAGATGTTAAGTCATTTTACTTTTTGGAAGATCAATCGGTAAGGTAGCAAAATAATAGCAGCTCAAAAGTAGGCAACCATTTTTTGATTCAGTTTAAGCGATAACAAAAGCTCAACTACATAAATCCCCATTTTACCGTAGGTAAAAAAAACATTTTTATATGTTATAATGGTATTCTCAATTATTTTGAAGCATGTTAAAGGAAAGACCCTCTAGAAAATACGAATTTTAACATTTACCCAAATATCATTGTTTAAAAAATGTGTTATATTTGAATACAATCTTTATTTAGCGTTCATATTTTAAGGAGCAGAGTTATAATAATACTATACTAATACGTACGACTACATCTAAATGTTCTATGAAAAGGGTGGGTGGGGGAAGTGCGGTTTACACATACAATATTTAAGCTAGTTGAACAAGAGTTATGATAAAGAACTATATGGAACTGAATTATAAACGAAGCGATAAAAAATATCTGTACACATATATATAGCTCCATGGTTAAGCACACATATATAAACGTATATTTGTACAACGAGAATTGCTATTAGTTATTTACACGACATAGAAACTAAGTGCTATTCAGCAGATTTTAACCTAAAAACAACCACTGTTTAAGTTTCCAATTTCCACTAAATTTTGGCGAAATCATAATTGTTAAAATATCGGATTTTTGAATTTTAAAGTCTATATGATTTTGAGAAACTTGATTGAAATGGAGATACGAGCAGGGTCGAGTGGGATTAATGTCTAAAGTCTTTTCAATGCAATGATTCCAACTAAGGCTTCACGTTTAGGTGCAATTGGTGTGGAGGAGGGAGATCACATCACAGAGCCAGTGTCCAATGTCCAGTGTCCAATGTCCAGTGCTTAGGGATTACGAGGTCGCCATCAGCTTGGCCGCCTGGATGACGTTGTGCTGGTGATGGTAGCCGGCCAACTCGCTGGCCGCTCCGCCCGCCATGGCCGCCGTGGACGCAGCTCCGCCCAACGCTCCGAAGGTGCCACCAAAGTAGCAATTGTTCACATAGTCATAGTTGGTGGCACTCGTCTCCGTTTTCACTCCATACGCGGCGGCAGCTGCGGCGGCATGCAAGTGATGATGGGCCGCTGCCGTCACATGGTGTCCATGGGATCCGCCCAAATGGTGGTGGTGCTGGTAGTGGGGCGAGGGGGTGCCATTGCTCAGCGTCGGCGTCTCGGCACTGTGCGACGTGTAGGCGGACGCACTGCCTCCGCCCGAGCTGCTGCCGGGCGTGTAGAGCTGCGATCCTGCCGCTCCGTGGAGCTGGCGAGCACCCAACTGGGACTGGCCGGAGGTCGGAGTCATGCCGTGACCATGTTGCTGGTGCTGCTGTGGCGTCGCCGCCTGTCCATAGTGGGGGAAAGCATTGCTGGTGAGCCGCCTGCTGCTGTTGTTGCTGCTGCTGCTGCTGTTGCTGTTGCTGCTGGGTATTGTGGTGTCCCATCAGAGTGCTGCTGCTGCCGGTGGTGGTCTTCAGGTCCGTGTGCAGTTTACCAAGGCTGTGGCTCAGCGAGGGTTTGAGATCTGGCGGTGGAAAAAGGGGGACAGGATTAAAGTCTTGGAAAATGTAGCTTATGTTTGGCATAATTAGTGAATAAGGTTGGTTTCCTTGCTAAATTCGAAGTTTCTACAGATCTCTTATGTTTTGTATGATGAGCCAAATAAATATATTTCCTTTGCAATCAAAATACAACTATTGATTTCTTTTGTGATCCACTAAAAAAATATTTGAAAGTCCAACTTAACTTCCGTTTTAGAGACATTAGTTGTGAATGCAAAAAGTTATGAAACTATAAATACAACTGTGGGTTCCACTATTACAGATTTCGAAAAACATCACATTGCACACAACAAGTTTGCAAACATTTAATATAAAGCTTAAGTGTTTAATAAAAACTGGTTAAGTAAAATACTGATCAAACGAGATCATCTTCTTAAGTAAAAACTATTAGTTTTTTAACCTTTCAGTCACGACCACCCCAATCGAATTAGTGACCACTTACCATGCTCTTCCTTGCACTCCTTGATGGCCTCCAAAGTGGAGCTCGATCCGGAACCAGTGCCCGTTGCGCCCGCCGATCCGCTGCCCGTTTTCTTGGGCTTCCGCTTCCTGGTCTGGATGCCATCCTTGCGCATGGCTAGTGGTCGGTTCACACCGTGCAACTTGTAGTACAGGCCGCAGGCGTTGCACACTGGCTCGCCGTCGTTGTTGCGCCTCCACAGGGTTGTTGTTCGGGTGCCGCAGTTGGTGCAGCACAAGCCCATCCTCCTGGTAGCAGTCTAACAAGGAGAAGACCCAAATTAGCAACGAAATCTGGAATGGATCGGAGGGGACTACTCACTGCACTCACCAGGCGCTTGCTGGGCTTGATCAGCGGCCGGTTCATCCCGTTCATCTTGTGGTACAGTCCGCAGGCGTTGCACAGGTAGTGCCCAGTGCCATCCCGCCGCCACAAGGGCGTCGATATGGCGCCGCAGTTGACGCACTCGCGTCCCTCGCCGAACTGAAAGTCCATGGCGCTCTCGTAGGGCGAGGATCGCTGGAAGCCCGACGGATCGTAGGCACTGCGCCAGGAGCCCATCATCACGGCGTTGGGAGAGTAAAACTGCGCCGGCAGCTGGCCGTGTGCCGATCCGAAGCTCTCCGTGGTCCAGGCATTCTGCGCCGCAGCACTGCCGAAATGCGCGGCCACGTGGTTGTACTGGCGGTTGGAGGGCACGTAAACCGGAGCGTTTACGGCCTGCTGGTGGTAGCCGGACACCCCGACTCCGACTCCGGCGCTGGCCGCACTACCGGCGGCAGCCAGGTCCGTGTATGCCGCTACGGCGCTGCTGTGGTACATCTTTACGGCGGCGGCGTGGGAGGCAGAAGCGGATTCGAATACGGATGCGGATGCGGAGGCAACCGGCAGCGTCACGTTGTGCTGGTCGCCGCTGAAATGCGGATAGTCGCGTGTCGACTGCTGATCCGATGTGGACTGCAAGGAGACGAAAAATAAATCATTAGTTAGATATTACAGACGTTAAAAAAGGTTAAATAATATATTAACAAGAAAGAATACATAAAGAAAATTAATCAGTCAGTAAGTAAGACTTAAATGATTAAAATATGTTTAAAAAACTTTTAAAACTACCATTTTACAATTTTTAAGTTATCCATTTAAAGAATGTCCTTATCTTTCAACACGCTAATTTGTTTTAGTAATTTTGTTAAAATTTACAGAAATTAATTTGATACATATACAAAATTCACGTCTGTAAGTTAGTTGTTGAATGTGAAATAGTCAATAATAATGACCACTCTGTGTAAAGTTTATTTATAGTGCTGTGTAATATCTCCCAAGAGCCATCTCTTATTCCATCCCTTTTTAGATCCTGTCCCTTTTGCCCCAGCTCCCATTTCCATCTCTTTCGTTCGGGGACTGCCATTGGATGCTCTGGCTCTTGGGCAACTCCCCTTGCTGGCAGCCATTTTGGTTTCACTTCTTGCTGCAGCTCCTGCGTCTGCTCTTCAGCCCTCCCCCGGCAGCGGTTCCCCCTCCTCCTCCAAATCGGAACCCGTTTTCCCGGACTGCGCCCTTTAGGTTACCAACTCGAGTTAATGGCGCTCTCTGCATCTCGCACTGCTCGTGTATCTTGGCATCCGTGAGTTTGTGCATCTGTATCTTTTGCTTCGCAGCACTTATCTGGTGCGTAGGCACTTCAATTTCTGCGTGGTGGAGAAGGGACAGGCCATAAAGTGTCATTTGCAGGCACTCGGTGCTCATTTTGAAATTATAAATTGGGGAAGCACGTACATATGATTTTATAAAGAAGATTGCAGCATTCGAAGGAGTCAACTGAAAAGAGCTAAATGAGCTTATAATGATGCATAATACGTATGGTTTATCAAACTTATGAAAATTAAACAAAATATAAACTAAAACTCATTGTTACAAAATTAATATCATTTTATTTTTGCATTAATTTTAATATATAGATTTAATTACCATTATTATTACTCCAGATGAAAGCATAATTAAAATAATTTTAATTGCATTAATATAATTAATTGCCTTCCTAACAAAAATGTGTGGCCATTTAATATTAATAATTGTTTTTTTATTCCGTACAAAGTTTTCATTGTTCATTCAACATTTTTGCACCAAATGAGGGAAAAGACTTCAAGTGGCGTTCGTTGTTTTCCCCCACATACACTTTAATATTTATTCAGACTCAGTTTTTTTTTATTCCTATTTCTGAAAAGTTCAACAGCCAAAAAAGCAAAAACAATAACAAAGCCCGACAGCGATCATCGAAATCTGTGCTTCACATCGGTTTCAATTAAGGCGCCAATTGCATATTTTTATTTATGCGGATATATTGAAATATATTTTTTAATTGCCTTTACAGTCAGCACCAAAAAGTCAAATAAAAAAGAGGGAAAACATTTGACGTCTTTATCTTATCCCACAAATTTAATGCGATGATGTATGAAATTTTTAATTTTTCTCATTCCCCTTTGCCTCGAGGGGGACGCAAATAAATTTTATTTGTAAACAGATGGCCACTTAAGGGGTGGGGGATTGGGAATGGCAAAGTTTGGGTAATATTGATGATATTAAAAGATTTAAAATTGCAGTTCAACGTAATCGCGCGCAGTCAAGTTGTTGAATAACAAATTGATGCCCGGGAGTTCTGTTTAAAAAGCCGCCGGTGATTTTAACTATATATTGCAATGATTAATAAGCCAAAAATTACATTTAAATCATTATAAAGTGCAGGATTGAGTTTTTGGAATTGAGTTTAACAGTAGACTGATATAATTATGTTATAATTTGACTTTTCAGGTACGTTCCGGAGATTTTTGTAGTTGCTTGTAACGCCTTTTGTCTGGGTAGCACATTTGTATTAATTGATTTAATGAATCGCGCGTTCATATGTGGCTACTTTAACTTATTTTTAAGCCAGAATTCATAATATATTTCCGAAATAACTTTGCCAATGTTTTATCAAAATGGCATTAAATTATGAGATATGAAATCAGATTGATGAGTGCAACATGACGTATGAGCAATAATATTTAAGACTCAACACGCAACTGTCAAAACAAATTAATTGAGCGAGCAGGAGGGGGCTAGTTGAAGATCAGTGCAACAATTTCGGCTGTAATTCCTCAAATTCCAGCGGAGCATGAGAGCGAAAGGGACAGAGACACGGAGGCAATCAAAGAGTTGACCACGCGTGCATAATGACGTCGCTCCCCTTAGAAGATCACTCGATCAAAGAGAGCGCCGAGTGAGAGATGCGATGGCGATGGAGCTGGAGTCGGACTGGGAGTTGCAGGGCGAGATCAAAGGAGGCGGCGACCACACGAAAAATTGTCAACAAGGCAAGCAAAAGGCAGAAGGATGAGAGAACGGATCGAAGGGATCATGACGTATGTACGCATGGTGTTCCAATGTGCGAGCGAAGAAGAGGGCGCTTTGGCGCTTATTAAAAAGCGATCAGCAAAAGGGACAAGCCGCCAAATCCCCCAAAGGAGGCGAAGAATTCAAATAAACATCCATAAAAAATCAATTTCACAAAAGTGCACTTAAAAAATAACAGAAAAAGAAAAAAAAATGTTTAAGTCTTGTAAAATGTTTCAATAAATTTATCAACAATTTTAAAAACTCTTAATCGCTTTCTTTTAGTTGGTAAAAATTTGTTGCAAACGTCAAATTTTTTTTTCCATAAGTGATGTTCTTTTAAAGTATTTTAAAATTAAAAAGTTTGTGTTGAAATGTTCTTAAAATTTTTAGTGCCTTTAACCGATAAGATCAGTTCTGGAAGTTTTGACTTTAAGAATTTTTTTTTGGAAACACCGATAATTGAGTTCTATTTAATTTTTGCCTTCTTTTAAAATTATTTAAATGCGTTTTGACATTTTTTTTTTTAGTGTGGAGGAGAAGAGAAAGAAAAGAGGATAACGATACCTATACCCACACCGAGTATAACCTTAATAATTTGTCACCGCAAATGAAGGAACAAAAACAAACAGAGAAAACCACTTGAGCCGGCAAAAACAAAACAAAGACAGAAGAGTCAGAAGCAGGATGAGAAGAAGGATCCCAAAGGAGGCGGGGAGCAGAGGATAAGTGGAGAATGAGGATGAGCGGCGCTTTAAGTGTTACTGTCTTGTCTTTTTTTCTCCCGCTCTCAAGCTGGCGCTCTGCCGTCAAGTGGTGGATCCTGTTTTTTTCTATCCACTCCTTTCCACTTTAGCCAACTCCACTTGACTCATTCATTCATTGATATTCGCTTTTCCAGGTTCTCTCCTCGCTTTCTCCTGCCGCCTTTCATTACCCTCTCTTCGCTTCTGCGCCAACTTGGTTGCTTGTTTCGGTCTTGGATTTTGTTTTGGCCTAATCGCTGCTCCATTTAAGTTTGCCGCCTGTCAAGGCTCATCTCATAAGAGGAAAATCATATAACTAATAGATGCATGAAGATTAAGGAGTAACTACAGTCGATGCGAAACTAATTAATCTGATTACTATTTCTGATCGAGTTTAAACTGACATATAAAAAAGGATTTCAAAGATGGTTTAAATATGGTCAAAAAATCTGTATAAATTTTACAGTGTTAAATCTGAATTTGTAAAGTTATTTAACCTACCTATTTAACCTCAACAATTTTAATTAAAATTCCGTTTGATAAAGTCACACATGTTGAAAATACTCATGATATCTAAGATGAAATAAATTCTTTTGATGAACTGAACCGAACAAGGAAAATAAAAGCTTTAAAATTAAATAGTTATATAAGCCCGAAACTAGATCTTAGTTTTTTATTATCAGGCCATTTCAGCAACGCAGTTTCATATTAAATATTACATACAATTTCCTTTATGCTTGAAAGACTTCAATCCGCTATACAAGTTGTAAACTTGTTACCCCGGTCAAAAAAGAAGCTGAAGCACATGTTCGGTGACATATTTTGTAGAAAGTAAAAAACGTGAGGTAAACTTACATCGCCATCACTTAGTAAGATGCCCATGATTTATGGCCGAATAATTCGCGATTCACGGCTCGTTTTAGAATGATTAATGGGCACGCACGCAGCTCAGTTCAAGTTGAGGTTGAAACCGATATGTATTGAGCTTCCGATATGGATATATTCGATTCTGAATTGCTATGGCTATTGATATTCACGGTGACGTTGGGAAGTGTAAATAATTAATCGTATCACAAATGCATTCAGATTAATTGCAACAAGCTCAGAAATGTTTTATGGCACTTTTACACGAAGTTTGTTTATTATTTATGTGGCATTCTATGGGCCTTGTTGTAAGGCATTTGATTAATGTGGCCTATAAAACGATAAATTTCGTATTAATTCATTTACGAGCACTTAACCGATTCCGTAGCTTTTGTCTCTACCTCGGTTGTCTTAATTTTTGTTGTTTGGCTTTTTTTTGGAGAGCGAGAGCACACCGACTGACTTCCTTGAGGCGAACAAACAAACTAAAAAACGCCTCGAAGTAAACAAAAACTTAATCCCAAATATCCAGATCCAGTTCCAGGCGTTGGCGTTGGCAGCGACTGCGACGCCGGCAGCGGATCGGCAAGAAGTCAACGGCAACAACATAAAAAGTCAATTTCATCAATGGGCAGTCCGTCGTCGCTCCTCTCATTCCTCTCTCCCTTCCACTCCTAGCAATGTCACTCCATCGCCATGGGCGTGAGCGGGATGCACTCAGCTGACAGGTAAAAATTTGTAGGTGCAACGTTGGCAGAGACGCCGGCAGCGGCGCTGACTCGAAAATTAGTCAATTTCATGTAAGTCTTGAAAAAGTATGTCCCGCACACTTGAGCCGGGAAATTGAAGCAGGTCCGTCCGCACTTGAGACCCGGAACGGTAGGCACTCTACCACTCGTCCCAACTAATCCGCTTTTCCAGACCCCGATCCCGAATCCCATTCCCATTTTGATCCCTAAACTACACAGAAAGAAAACATTGATATAATCCTGACTTTAATCTAAACTGTTGACTATAGAGAAACAGTATAATTTATAGTTAAATCTTATAATTCGTTAATTGAAAATGTTATTCTTAGTAAACTGTCATACTAGCTTGTGAGTTAATCTCTTATATGCAATACAATACCATTTTATTAACTCGAGACAAAGAAAATGTTAAAAACATAATTTTCTTGACAGAACATTCTAAGTTTTTTTTCATTTATTTTTGGTAATGCACTTTCTCAAGTGTTTGACCACTTAAAATTAATATGATTTTTCTTTTGTGTATAACAATCAGAAACCGAGGCGAGATTGTGGGCACTGAAGGCCCGGCCCATTGTCAGCAGCTCGTTAAATTGCCTGGGCGTGTGTCTGTCCCCGAGAAAGGATCTCAGGATCTGGACAGGCTTTAATTAATTGATCTCTCATCCATGTGTGTGTGTGTTTATATTGCTCTTAATGGTAGGCGATTAATTCATGATGACTCAAATTGCAACTACGGCAAGGGGAATTACAAATAATTCGGTGGAAAGAAAAATGAGGGTTCTACATTCCTATATCTACAAATATTTTAATAGGGTTAATATATATAAGATTAAAATGATGTTACTCAAGAACTGCACTTTTAAAACACAAATTTATAAACATTTTTTTAAGTTTAGTTTTAAATGTTATTGATCATTGTTACAGCCAAAAATTAATAATCCATATACTTTTAAAACAAGCTCTTGATTCGTTAAAGATATTTCCTATTTTTGTATGGAATTTGTCAACGACCTCAGAACGACCACAAATCACTCGCAAAGCAACCGGAGACCCCAGGAGACGTCATTAATCAAGCAATTTGCCTTAGTTTCTGGCAATCGGCCCGAAACAAGAAAAGGTTCTCGGGGAGCGATGGAGAGGTCAGATTCGCTCCATTAAAATGCAAAGCAAAAGTGGCAGAAAAAGTGAGGAAAAAGGAACAAAAACAAAAGCCGGGCGAGGAAAGTCTGTCAGGAAGGCAGTCCAAGGTGAGGTACGAAAGATGTCAAAACAAAAACCGTAGGGATGGGGTTTTGGGGGAGGAGGGTGGAGGGAACACAGCGGCGGTGGCGGACATGCGCATATTTCAATCCGCGCTGACACATCCTGCTGCGCTAATGGACCTTAATTTGTGAACAGCTTTATATATCATGCGCCAGACCGTTAATGTGATCATCCACACGATCTGGCTGCGACTTGGCGTTGGAGTTGCTGGTTGCGAGTTGGCGATAAAGTTTTTATGGAGCTTATCGTCCGAATGCGCGGAATGGAATGGAACAGGCACGCGCTTTCTTGGAAATGGAAAACTGCCAGAAAAAAGGTTGGAAAGAAAGTGCACGAAACTTATTCTCAGGCCCATTGAGTCCCTGATAACGTGCAGACAAATGATAATTGCCCTGGCTCCACTCTAATCCTGTTCCAGCCAGAACGAACCCTTCAACCGATTCCGATTCCGATTCCGATTTAGGGGTCGGGGAAATGTCGCCTGAATTTTCAAAGTGGCGTCACCGCTCAACCCCTTTCTAATACTTTCTCCCACCCCTTTGCTATTAGGGAAACCCAGTGAAGTCTTACTCTCGGGTACTTTGCATCTCGATGATCACAATTCCCATTGATCGTCATCGCCATCATCGTTGTCTTTTTCCCCGCTCGCTGGTGCTCGTATATGGATCTCCCTCTCGGCAAAGATGAAAGCAATCTTTATTGGTTTTTGTAGTGATTTTAAGTGGATTTGTGGTTCGATTCTTAATGCCGAAGTGCGCCAGGCCAGTCTCGGATCCAGAGATTCAGATTCAACCTCAACCTCCGTGGCTGCGACTGCGGCTGCGATGTCTCTGCGGTTATATCGTTTTTATTCAAATTTGTATGTTTATTTCTTTCTTTATGCGTAATTATGAGAATCTTCCAGCTGTCGTCCGCCAGACGAAGACATACTTGGCCCACGGCCGTTGAGTGTTTTAGGCAGTTTGAGGCTTGTAATTATGGCCTTTGGTTTGTCTTTAATGTCGCAAATGCATCTAGTCGAGGGAGGTGGGGGGAGCGGTGGTTCAGATGGGCAGGGTTCTTTGATGGCTTTGCCATCACAAGTTGGGCATGGCAAGTGCGGCAAGTTTCGAGGAGATAAATATGGTTCTCCGGTGAGTGAAAAAGCGTTTAAAAAGGTATGCTATGTATATGTACCTTACAAAAATATTTGTGAGTTGCTAAAATAAAAAATTAACTTTTTAAAAATAAGAATAAATTATAAAAGTAAAATTTAAACATAAATTAAAAATTATCATTAAGCGTTATTAATTTTACTTCTTAAATGTTAATGTTTGTTGGGTTATGGATATTTGTCAAGGACTTAACTTTGACCTAAGAATGCCAACATTTTAACTAGCTAGTTTATTTTTTATTCACTTTTCGATTAGGAAAGCTTGATTTATAAAAGTTAATGAAATTATTATTGTATATCCAAAATTACTAAATGAAGGTACGTTTTAATAAACGAATCAATATAAAAATATATTTAAAAGTGATGTTCTATAGAAATACAAATGCTACAGAGCAGTTTATCACCGTCTTCTTATCACAAATTTAATGTATTATAACGCAATAGGTTTTTCCTTTATTGCTTAAAAAGTTTTCAACCCAAATGGGTTTAGCGCCGCAATAGTTCCGATCTGCCTTGGTAATCGCAGTGCCATTAAGGGCTCTTTCAAACAACCGCTGCAGTAACCCATCAAAGTAACTCCCCGGGCTCCACTTTTCACTGCACCACCCCCAGTTGCCCCTTCTCAGGCCGCACTCAATTCAAGGAGGCACTTGACATGGCAACTAAAACGCAATTGAAGTGCGACGGCTACTTACAAATTCATGAACAACAAAAACCGGAGAACTAGCGAAGAACTCAATTTGAATATAGAAAGATAAGTGAGCCCCATGACTGTTCCAATCGCTGATTTTGAGTGTGTGTCAGTCTATAAACATCGCCGCGGGTAGAGGCTCACTTATCAACTTGCCGTCGCTGGAGAACTGATGGCGGAAATGGTGACTTATTGCAACTTTCGTTCTGATAACGTTACATTTGCTTATGCGTTTTGTTTTATAATTAATTACCAAGCCGATATGCGTATCTATGCTCAACGAGACTATTATGCTATTATGCTGGCTGTGTTCTTCTTTTTTTTTTTGGAGCCACAGAGCGTGTGAATAACGAAAGACTGAAGCAACGAACTTGATTCGGCGAGTGTCCTTTGTGGCGAGCATAGATGGCGTCTAAATTAAGCCTGCCCCTTGGGCTTTTGATCTCTGCCGATACCGGGATACGAGCGAGGAGTCTCCCCTCCCTGCTCTTATCATTTTCTACACAGAAAAAAAATATATAGGAACTTACTCTTTCCAAAATAGAAATTTCCTTTTTTTTAGTTTTGATATGTTAAAAATGTTGAAACGGAACAAACATTTTTTTTACGTTGAGTTTATAGGTAGAATATTCTTTGGGGTAAAAGAAGCTTGGCATTTTTTACAATTTTATTTAACTTTGTTACAAAGTTGATTTTTTTTTACATTTACAAAGTATAGTTTCATTCATTTGGAGAACATTTATTGCTTTAAAAAAATGTTGGTAAGAAATAATCAAAAGTCAGATAGTTGCACTTGTCCATTCTTAAACTTATTTAGTACTTTATAAGTAAGCTGAAACTGATATTTAAAACATGCTTTGTCATGTTGTTTAGATATTTCTTTCTGTGTAGTGGCAGTGACAAGTTTTCGGCACGCGGACCGACAGATTCCCGGGGAATGTGCCTCGAATGTGTCTCCCGATTGGGTCCCCATCTCGACGTCCGTCGGCTCCGACCAAAGCTTTTAAGTGTCTTGGCGTCGGCGCGGCTTATGTCTTGCCTTCTCCCTTCCTCTTGGGTGACATTTACATTTGGAGGCCAGAGGAAAACACAGGGAAAAGGAGAGGGGAGAGAGAAAGGGGAACCCGAGGAATTAATTGCTGTGGAAAAATCAAGATTTAATCGGCGCTCTTGACTGTGAAAAGATGTCGCCTAATTTTCCCTAGTCTTTAATTAATTAATTAATTATGGCCACCTAATGACGAAGAAGGAAAATGTGTATTCGGGAGTTTTCGAAAGTTTTTATTAGCCTTTGGCGCCGGCCCTGTAGCTCATATGAACTGTAAGCCTGAGAAACACTGAGATAAGGTTCAACTGCAACCCGAATCGAAATCAGTTCTCTCCAGCAGGCTTTATCGTTGGGGCTTGTGGACCTCAGCTTCCTCAAGACCCGGCGATAAGTCCGGAGATTATGCCTCCTCTGCGAAGGTCCCACATGGCCCCGATTTGATAGGCCCGTCTTGATAGCGATATTGCCATGAATAAGGCAAGCTTATCGTCCAACTCTTTGTATCCAGGCTAAAAATTATACTCTATATGATTTATGTGGAAATCTGGACGAATTTAATCTGCGC